TGTGTGTGTGTGTGTGTGTGTGTGTGTGTGTGTGTGTGTCTGTCTGAAAAGTAACCCCCTTGGACACGGTGGGACTTTCGCCTGATGAAATGAAGCACTAATAGAGAAAGACAAGGCAGTGGATGGGGCACAGGTAAAATGCAGGTCTTCAGCCGCTTGCAAATTTTACAGAAAGAAGCAGCTTCGTCAGTCTGCCTTTTCCTGACGACGGTCCCTGCCGATCATCAGTGATTTCATAATACTTTTAATATTTATACCCGTCTCATTCCTTCTGAGGCTCAGGTGGCTTAGAGCGATCCCACACAAATCTGTCCTGTGATGATGCAGTTAATGATCTGAGTCTCGCTGGCGGAGGAAGGGAGAATCAGCAGCCTCAAGAATGAAACCATCATGCCCGTCTTAATAGAGTGACCCTCCAAATTAATGAAAGGATTGTAAAATTTCTTATGTGAGTTTAGATACCGCCCGATCCTGCCTTCTAAGGCTGCTAAGAGGAATTGCATGGCATCAGGCGGTCTGATACTGTGGCTTAGAAAGACTCAGCAACAAAAGGAAAGATACAATAACACACAGCTGAAAAGGTGTCCTAAGAGTGTGGTTTCTGCTGCAGAGGCGAACATGGCTACCCTTTCTGAAAACGGTTGCAGACCAGGGAAAACATCCAATGGGTGAAGGAAAAGAGCCGGTGATTGAAATGAAAAAGGGATTGGGGACTCACACGGGGTCCCCATGAACTCTGAGCAAATTAACCGACTTTGCTTTACTCATGGTTTGAGTTTGAATGAGGAGGCATTGAGGACATGGCTGCTCTGAAGCCAGGATATTGCTCTGCGAGGCTCAGAAGTGCATTCTGGTTTTCAAGTTACTGAAAAGGCCTCTAAATGTGAGTTTATTGGTGGTGATATATATTGCATACCCTGTCCATATTCGCTCCCCTTCTCGCTTTTGTTGGAATAATCTGGGGAGGCTTGGGGGGGGGGGATCACATTCACACAGTCGCCTGCCTTAGTGGGTTTGTTGGGAGGGGAAGAAGATTTGAAAGCAAGGGGGTTGCAAAGGGGTTTTGAATTCAACCCTGTGTTTTTAGCATACAGAGGAGAGCTGGTCTCGGTCAGGTGTCTTCTCCATGTTCTCAGATGAGGCTCTGAACTCTCCTCCCTCCCTCTGCCCCCTTTAGGGTTCTGTTCCTGCAGGGGGGGGGTGTTTAACCGCCCCAGCTGATCTCCTGGGAGATACAGGTGGCTTTTGAGCTGGTGGCCTGGGGCAGGAGAGCAGTCAACATCCCTGGGTCCATTTTGGGTCCTCTTGCCTCTGCCTGTTCCTTTTTGTGAGTTTGCATTTGGGGGCAGGGTGAGTGGTGTTTGTCTACTACTCAGATTTGTGCATGTTCCTATGACGATCATTCTAAGGCACGGAGGGGGCTGTTTATACGTGCCGTCCCTTGTCCAGTTCCTAATCGTGTTGGAGTCTTCTAGACTGCTGTTCCATGAGTCAAACAAGGAAGCCCCAGAGGTAAGGGGGATTTTCACTCCGCTTCAGCTTCTGAAGCAGAACCATTCTGCATTTGTTTTGCTGGGTTTTCAACCCCGTGCCAGTTTGCCTGGTTTTAATTTTGTTTTTGTTTTTGGACGGCTTTCAAGGTTTTTGCAACGCAAGCCCTTTCGTTTTTGTCGTGTTTTGGTTTTTTTCCTTGATGCAGTTTTGCGTGCTGGTTGGAATAACAGAGGGGCACGCTTTACATAATATTGTTGGGGCTTGAGCAGGTGGCTCTGAGGCTGAAGGGAAAAGATACAGCTGAAAAGCAGCCTCTTCATTCCTCCCCCCCCAACTCTGCTCCTACACTTTATATCAGCACTAGACCCCCTCCCCTTGCAGTGGCAAGCCGAGGCAAGCAGCTTCCTGCGAGCGACATCAGCCCTGTTGGAGCTGTTTGTCAACAGTGTAGAAAGAAGAGTGTTCAGCCCGCTCTTGGATTTTTTGCTGGGATCCAGCAGGTGCAGGCTGGCTACAGGAAGGGCTGAAGGCTGTCTGGGACTTAGTTGCTGCACGTTCGCCTTCCCTCCCCAGGTGCTGTATTGTCTAAACCAAGCTGGAGGTGTCTGTCTATTTTTAGCAGGCTCCCTCTTGCAACGCGCTTCCTTCTTCTCCCTCAGCGAAAAGTCACATTCTCCTGCAAGCTCCTAACTATTGATTTCCTGCTACCGACGAAGACCCGAAAAGGCCATGAAGGAGATGCTTTGGTGAAAAATCAAAGCGAGCGGCGGACTTCTTGCTTTGAGTCTGTGGGGATGGAGGATGGCTTAGGAAACTCCTGACATTCCAGGATCTGTACACGTCCTTGCTTTGTTTGGGTTGAAGCACGGGTGAGATCCATTGTTCAGTTCTTCTCATGCAGAATGTGAACGTGTTTGCACGGAAAATGCTCGGGCTTGTTTAGAATGAAGCGGCCTTTCTTTATGCCTTGACAGGCTCTGGAATGAATATGGATATTTGCAATGCCCCCTGAATGCTAGTGGTTCCATTTGGAGACTGGAGGCAACTCATCATGATTAATCAAAGAAGGAAATGACTTGGCTTCAAGTGAATGATCAGTTATGTGTCTGATTTAATAACTCTGAGAGCCTTTAATGTTTAACAAAGATGAAATAAGTTCCCATGGATTCATCCCTAAACGCAGTACACGGGATCGCTGACCTGATTGTCATAACTCTTATTTTACCTGAAGCAGATGTGGTAGCTTGCCAGTGGTGCTTAGCGTATTTTATCAATGAACGAAAGGGCTCTAATACTAATGGTCATGAAGTGCATATTTATGAAATGGTGATATATGTGGTAAGATCAATTCAAGTGACCTGTTGCTTGCAGGATTGTCAGATGCTCTCTAACCCTTGGCAGGGGTATAATTGATGGATTTGTCTCTGCAATCTTGTTTTGTGGCAGGTAACATGCTTAAGTATTTGTTTATACATCCGGGTGTAGAGGAAAGACAGCCCTCTGTGTTTTAAGATTGGCTGCTGCTTGACTACCAAGCACCCTGCTTTTCTTTAAATGATGTCATGCTAGCAGACAGAATTGCATACAATGCGTGAATGGTAAGATCATCAGCAAATTGGATTGTGCACCTAAAAATATTGGTGGCACATTGCTCCTTTTCAAGTAGGGAAAAGAGGTGACAGCACTGATCAAGATGGAACGAGTAAGACAGAAATTAAAACTGTGCCTTAATTCCAAGAATTTTTTTTTTTTTTTAAATAGCTTTTCATCTCTGAACTGATCCTGGTGACTTATGTTGCATTAAAATTGTTTTTCTAGAAAGAAAGGCCAGCAACTTGATTTTTCTCTCTCTTTCAAAGCAATGCTATTGCTAGCTGTGATTCTTTTTTTTTTTTTGCAAATGTTTAGGTCACGTTCTGTGTTTTGTTGTCACACTTGTACTTTGTTGGGTGGCTCTTCTGTTCAAGAAAAGGTTGGATTGGACCGAGAGCTAGAAGCAACACGCTGTTGATATTAGTATGCCTAGCTTACATGGTTTCATTGGAACTGAATTCATTGGCCATGGTGAGGTTGTGGTATGGAAAACTTGGGAATTGCAGGTCCATGCAAATACCTTCCTGCTTTGAAAT